TGCAGGTGCTGATGGCTGAAGGTCTGCTCTCTGCTGTGAAAGTCTTCCTGGACTGGCTGCGAACCAACCCTGACCTCATCATCGTGTGTGCGCAGGTATGTCGCTCTCACTGTCCTTTGTCAGGTCTTGGGCAATTGTCATGGTTATCAGTCAGGATGGGCTTGGAATCCCCTCAGAATGTCTCTACAAGACGGAGCTTTTTACTGAGCACCAACTCTGCTGGGCCTTTATGTTATGAGAATTAGACATGAGCTTTGACCTCAGAGAGTGTGTGACGTGGACAGGGATATTGATTTTGTGGACTGGAACAATGAATGGTAACATTTCCTGTTTTATGTCTTCAAGACCAGGCATAATACCTGCCATTATGAATAGCATTTAAGTATGTGTGTGAGAACTGAACTTGATAAATGGATTACAAATGTCAAAGAATTCCAGCGAAGGGAGAAATTGTTGAGCATGATGAAAGCTTTGAGATCTAGAAATGTGGTATCTTCCCACAAGGGTTGTCAAGTTGATCTAGTCTGGAGAACCCTGAAGGAGAGTTGTGGAGTGAGAGTGAATATGGTGCCTGAGAGCTCGGCTACTGTTGGGCTGTCCATGGGGTAGATGATGGCAACTCTCTCCTTCCCAGGATGGGAACTTAAATCTCGATTCTGTAGATCCGTTCTAGTACTACTCCTGCTCTCCTTGAGGACCGCTTGCCTACAGCCACCACTGTCCTCAGACCAGGCACACCCATGGGTGTGTGGCTCTGTCCTACGAAAATGAATTCCTTAGTCACTAATTAGTAATTGAAGGAGATCCGGTAGAGATGGAAATGATGTCTCCAGACAAGTTTCCCAGGACTGCTGAAAGAAAAGGTTCTATAAAATGTAGAGAGGTCACCACCTTCTAAACCAGCTTTTCCCAAGATCCAGAAAATCCTTCTAGGGGTCTCACTGCTCCTTGTCCCAAAGCACCCAGGTGCTGTGTGTCATACTCAACAATTCTCCGTCATCACCCTTCATTTCTCAAAGGACCAGTTTTGGTTAATTTTTATATCATATCCCTCCCAAGCCTCAGATTATTTTCTCAAATTCTGCAACATTATCCCTAGCTGAAGGCCTCCTTGTCCTGTCTGTCTTAGAGTTCCCAAAGTTTGTGGAACCGCCTGTCTGTGTTGCTGAATCTGTTGCCAGCTGCTGGTGAACTCCAGGAGTCTGGTGAGTGAGTAGCTGGTGTTTATCCTTCCTGTTCCTCATCCTTCACTGGCCCCACTGTGTCCATCCTCCGCCTGGTAACACAGCCATTGGGGTAAGGAGGTTAATGGAATTCACTCCTCAGCCTCCCTAGCACACAGCAGGCATTGTGGTCTGGGCCTCTCTGGTTTCCCACCCCAGCACTGCCCCACTGTGGCCAGGTGGCCTGATCGGCTAGGGAGTATGCTCCCTGGAGGGACAGCGGGCAGGCAAGAACAGAGTGAGAGGACCTGGGAGCCAGATGCCTGGAGTTAACTGAGAATTAATTGTGACATACACCCAATTCCTCTATCTGGCTTACCCCCTCTGACAACTTTCCTCTTGATAAACTCTACCTTCTCTTGCTTCTGAGACTCCCAAGTCCTCGTCATTCCTCCAGAATCCTTCTTTGCGTTCCACTGCAGTGTTTCCCTTCTGTCATGAGCATTCCTTGCCTAGCTGTCCTTTCCAGCTCTGCTTCTCTCATCCCTTAGATCTGGAATCCCAGAGCTTGGCCTAACTGGCCCTTGTGTGTCATGTCTCTTTGTATTTCTCCTTCCTTCCCTCTCTTCTGACTATCCTTGGGTTGTATCATGTCTCACCATCCTGGGGGGAATTCCAAAAGGACAAGAGCTCTATTCCTCTAATTGAGTACTTCCCCTGGCAGGTGGTCTGATGTATCCTTTTCCTCCTAGGCCTGGATCTGTGTCCTGAGGTCCAGGATCTTCTTGAAGGCTGTGAGCTTCCTGACCTGCCCTCTTCCTTGCTGCTCCCAGAGGACACTGCTCTCCGCAACCTGCCTCCTCTCCGAGCTGCCCACAGACGCTTTAACTTTGACACGGATCGGCCCATGCTTAGTGCCCTAGAGGAGGTGAGGCTGTAGTTTCTCACAAACATTCTCTTTCACTGTCATACACAGTAGCAAAGCAGGGGGCTCAGGTTTGGGAAGACAGGGTACCCCTTCCATCCAGAGTAAGATTGTCTTTGGGCTAAAGGCTGTGATACAAACAGTGAGCCATTTTAGTTCTCTTCTTTGCCATGGCAAGACATCCTTCCAGAGGTCTGCTGGTGGTTTTCACTGTGCAGTACCTGACTATCCCCGTAATCTGTAAACAGAGCACATTAACCATTTTGTGGACTTCGAAAACTTGCTTATTTCTTTTCTGCTCAGCCTTCTCTGAGCTGAATGTCAGTCATGGAAATCAAGCTGTAAGGGAACATGAAGCCCACTTGTTGTGTTCATAGAGTCAGAACTGACTCCTTGCTGACCCTCCAGCGGGTTTTCAGAGGCAGTTAATCACATGGGAGGAGATGGCCCATGTGGAGCTGATGACCTTGAACAGCGTGCCTTCGGGATTGCAGTGCAGCTTCCTGCCCCTAGGCCACCAGAGCTCCCTTCAAGCCCACTTAGTCAAGTGATGTTTATCCTCAAATCTATCTCCGCACTGTCAGCCTGGGGCCAGCAGAGACAAGTCAGTCAGGATAAGGCTGCTAGCCTCATCTCGAACCCCTGACACCCCCCCCCCAACCCCTCCCCCGCCCCGCCCCTCCCCCCCCCCCCCCCCCCCCCCTCACCCCCCCCCCAACCTCTCCCTGACATACCCTTCAGCAACCAGTGCTGCTTGGCTGTAGTCTGTTTTATATGTTAGGTTTCTTTCTCTTTTTTTAAAATAATTTTAATGAAAGTTTACAGACACTTTGGTTTTCCATTCATTCATTGTTGCACTTTTCTCCCTGTCCAGCTTCCCTTCCAGTTTTCTCTTCTCTTTGAAAATTTTTTTTCATTGTTAGACAGTCTTTTCCCCCAAGTCCACTCTACTATGCAGCCTTCATTTTGAAAAGTAACAGAAAAATTCTGTCATTGTTATACAGTCCCTTCCCCCAGGTCCACTCCACTATGCAGCCAGCCTTTATTCTGGAGTCCTGTCATGACAATAATACCTAATCATATATCGCTTTTAAATGGTTTTCTCCCTCATCTGTTTCAATGCAGTATACATTGTTGAACCCATCTTTCTCAGTCTCCCCCCAACCCCGATGTCAGTCCTGCTTTACAATAGTGGCACTATGCAGTATTTGTCCTTTTGTGACTGAGATACCTCACTCAGCATAATGTCCTCCAGGGTCACCCATTTTGAATAATATTGCATGAGTTCCTTGTTTTTCAACGCAGCATAGTATTCCATTGTGTGAATATACCACAGCTTCTCTATCCATTCTTTTGTTGATGAGCACTTAGGATGTTTCCAACTCTTTGCTCTTGTGAACAAAGCCACAGCAAGCATGAGTGTGCATATGTTAGGATTCTAGATGTGTTTTGGTTGAGGGAGATAAAGGGTTTTCCTGACCCAAAAAATAGTTGAAAAATGTTGAGCTAGTCCAGTCCCTTGTTTTCCACACGAGGATCCAGAACCCGTAGGTAAAAGGGGTGGCATTAGGACCCAGTCTCCTCACTCTTATCCTAGGACCCTTTTTCTTCTCCATTAAGCCTGGCTCCTTGATGGTCTCAGGAGTCTCCTTCCTTCACTTGCTTACTCCTTTTTCTGGCAACTAAAGAGGCTCTAGGCCTGGATGCTTTCCTACTCTACAAACTTTCCATGGTAAACTTGCCTTGTTGCTAAGGAGGTTGGGGTCGGGAGAGGCAGGAAGGCAGAGCCCTGGTGCGACCAGCTCAGCTGGGACAGACATGTGTCTCCATGTCTCCTGCAGACAGTGGTGCGCATCTGCTGCATTCGAAGTTTCGGCCACTTTGTTGCCCGCCTGCAAGGCAGCATCCTACAATTCAACCCTGAGGTCGGCATCTTCGTCAGCATCGCCCAGTCTGAGCAGGAGAGCTTGCTGCAACAGGCCCAGGCCCAGTTCCGCATGGTGAGTCAGGCCTTCCCTTCTCAGCCAGCTCTGTCCTGTTGAGCTCACTGAGGGTCAGAGGCTAGACTGTGAGAGGGATTGGAGAGACCAAGCCTAGGAGAGTGGCAGTCTGGGAAGGAAGTGAAGAGGAATGGGGCTGACAGGGAAGTATGGCACAGAGGCTGCATCCGGCCTGGCCTAGGTGTGAAGACATCCCTCTCACCTCTAAGCCTGTGAACTAGCAAGTCACTTAACTATGCTGATCTGACTGCCCTTATTATATGGGAAGAGCAGAATCAACTTTAAAGGTTTTTGTGACGAATGAATGAAAAATAGATGTGCCTGCACATTGTCTTAATAGAAGTGTGTGCTCAGCAAATATAAAGACTGAGGAATGAAAAGGAATGGAGAGATCTTGGTGGTGATCCCTTTGTAGGTACCACCTTCCACCTAACTAGTTCTTAATTTCACCAGATCCCCAAGAGTAGGTAGGTCTGTATTACCTCATTTTCATTTAGTCAGTCATTCCGTAAATATGTATTTGTCTACTTTTTATCAGATGTGTTGGTATTTGAGCATTAGTAGGATACAAACCTGTTCTTTTTTTTTTTTTCGCGCCCCCCCCGCCGGTCACAA